AAAAAAAAAAAAAGGAATCAACAGTATGATGAGGCTTTGGCTTTAATCCAGAACCGTTTTCCAGGTTCAGAAGATCGTTTCGGTTTTGCCGGGTTCTGACGGAGCCCAGGGGAAGGACAGGTGTGGGGTAAAGTGGCACTTTCCCTCCGCAAGCCTCCTGCAGTGATGCTGTCACCCGCCACCTTCGCCAGTGATTTCTGTGACTTAACAGAGAAACTGTTTCCTGAAACACGAGGAAATTGTTCCTGGAAGAGCCGTGAATATAGAGAGAGACACAAACGCTTATTTGAAATCCTTTTCTCTTAAATGTAAATCGTCATTCCCGTGATGCATGTGTCACTTCCCCCAACCAACGCCCCAAGCCTTCCCCTTCAGGTTTGGATCATTCACGGACTCCCTGGTCACCTTTCCTATAAAAAACTAAAGCAGGGAGCGAATAAACTGGCTCCCTCCCCGTCTCAGTGTTCACAAGGGCAGACCGGAGGGGCAGTGGGCATCCACGGGGATTCTCTGCAACGGCCTCTTCCTGTCCCCGTCCTAGCTCTTGCGTGGGACGAGGGAACCTGTATTTTAAGTGACTGGTGAAGGGAGGGTCTGGGTTCTGGCCTGTGCTTGAAATTCAGACACAATCTGCATCAAGGGTTGGCAACCCATACATACAGAGGTTCTGGGGGGCCCAGGGAGACCGGCCACCCGGCGGCGTTGTGTTGGGCTCACGTGATCACCGGGAAACCTCCCGGGGAAACCTTCAACCTGCTTAAAGGGAACTGGCTCTTTCACTGATGAGCAAAGCTCTCTGCGAAAAAAAGCTGGGCTCTCCCAGAAATCTCAATGCCCCCCCGACAAACCAAAAATCCGCTTCACGACATCTAAGTGGGGGACGCATCTCTGACACCCCCTGCCATTTTATTTAGGATGAGTGCACGGTATCCACGTCTCACTGTGCTCTCCTCCCCACAGGCGTGGGCCCCTCGAACTGTAAACAGTGCTGTGCGCGGTCCCGGGGCCGATGACCGCTGGACCGCGGGGCGACCTAAAAGTGACCTCGTGCCACCGGCTGCCCTGAATCTCACGGCCGACCCTCCTGCAGACGAGTACCCCTTCGAGAGAGCGCAGCAGGACGCGGGCTGGAGGGCGTGAGTGGGGATGAGCCCCCGGAGGCTCTAGGAGATAGAAGGAGCTGAGTTTGCTGGCTGCCCTCCCCACCGGGCGTCAAGAGCTTAAAAGCAGAAGGTTAATACTTCCGCAGCCATCCGGCCGCACGCCCTGCAGCGGGGACTCCCGGAACCACCTGTCCCCAGGTAGGCAGCACCTGTGCACGGAAGCGGGCAGGGAACAGCTCAGGTGACTGGAAGTTCATCTGGGGTGTGTCTGGATCCCTGAGATTCGCCGGTCTTGGAGGGCGCAGGAGGCTTGGGAGGGCCAGCCGGGCTCTGGGCGGAAGGCTGGGAAGGGCAGCAGCGGCAGCACACGGAGAAGAGCCGGGTTCGGACGGCGTGGGTGCAGAGGACGAACATGACGCAGTTGGCACCGCCCTGAAATGTGTTCCCGATCCCCTGTCAGGGAGAAAAGAGGCCTGAGTGCCGCGGCTGGAGGGGGTCTTAAACCCAC